TTGTGGTTCCTTTCAGTTCTTTTGCCGGCTCACCGACGCTAAATAGCGCCTCCAACATAGGCTCGTAGTCTAGATCCAAGTTCACACCTCCTGGCACAAGTACCCCAGTCTTGTGCCGGGCGCTCCGCTTAGTAAACACCCAGACGTCCCCCGACCACCCAATTTATCATCTCCGAAGTCCCGCGGTACAGACTACTTTCCTCCTAGGAGGTCATTTTCACCACAATAACTTTAGGGACGACTTGCATAGCCTAACATCCTACTCACACGCCGGGATAGAGCGTACACCAACGTCCAGCTTCTCATGTACGCTCCACCATGGGTTGCTACCCCACTTGCGCTCCCGGGTAGACGACCTGTCTGCCGAAAGTCTGGACAACAATTCCTTACTGCTTTATACTCGCCTCGCTCCAATCGAAAACAATGCATTGTGCGTGCCGAATATCTAGCTCCGCAGTTTTTGCGTGTCTGGTCTGGTCGTTCAGCTTGCTCGACGTGATTAATAATGTTTGCTTTGATGGCTCTATGTTTTATTGATCCACTTCAAGCAACGAACACCCCCCCCCTCCACCATTATGGTTACCGCCAAAAAGAAAACCGGAGGTAAAAAAAAAAAAAACGGTAACCTGGTTGCCGAGCTCACGAAGTGGAGTGGCTTGTTTTACAACGTCGTTGCCAAGCGACGAAAACCCAACCCCGATGGCAAACACCAGGGGGGGGGTAAAAGTTACGCTGCATCATCCGTGAATCGAACACGGGTCGCGTGAATGGCAATCACGCATTCTACCACTGAACCAATGATGCTGTAGGGATGGGGAGGGGCGCACGACCTCTATTTTTCAGGGGAGGTTCGGGTAAGGGTTGGGGGTCGGGTCTATGTGTACTGCATTCTCGAATTGTCCCCTCACTATAGCTACTGTGGATTTTCAGTATACAGCCATCCTCACTCAACGCGTCTATGTGTCCGGCAATCTCCAATACATATCAACATGTGAGGTTTCAGTATGCAGCTTTCTTCGCTCAATGCGTCTATGTGTCAGGCAGTCGCAAACGTCACGCAACCCGTTAGGTCTCAATTTGCAGCTATCCCCACTCAAAACGTCTATGTGTCTGGCACTATCCAACATCACTCAACTCGTGAGGTTTCGGTATGTAGCTATCCCCACGCAGCGCGTCTATGTGTCTGGCAAACTCAAAAACCAATCCATCTGTGAGGTTTCAGTATGCAGCTATCCTCACTCAACACGTCTATGTGTCCGGCAATCTCCAATACAAATCACCTGTGAGGTTTCAGTATGTGTCTTTCCTCACTCAAAGCGTCTATGTGTCCGGCACTATCCAACATCACTCAACTCGTGAGGTTTCAGGAAGTAGCTATCCCCACTCGGCGCGTCTATGTGTCTGGTAAACTCAAAATCCAATCATCTGTGAGGTTTCAGTATGCAGCTATCCCCACTCGGCGCGTCTGGGTGTCCGGCAATGTCCAATACAAATCACCCGTTAGGTCTCAATATGCAGCTATCCTCACTCAAAGCGTCTGTGTGTCCGGCACTATCCAACATCGCTCAACTCGTGAGGTTTCAGGAAGTAGCTATCCCCACTCGGCGCGTCTATGTGTCGGTAAACTCAAAAATCAATCCATTTGTGAGGTTTCAGTATGCAGCTATCCCCACTCGGCGCGTCTGGGTGTCCGGCAATGTCCAATACAAATCACCCGTTAGGTCTCAATATGCAGCTATCCTCACTCAAAGCGTCTGTGTGTCCGGCACTATCCAACATCGCTCAACTCGTGAGGTTTCAGGAAGTAGCTATCCCCACTCGGCGCGTCTATGTGTCGGTAAACTCAAAAATCAATCCATTTGTGAGGTTTCAGTATGCAGCTATCCCCACTCAACACGTCTATGTGTCCGGCACTTTCCAATGCGAATCACCTGTGAGGTTTCAGTATGTGTCTTCCTCACTCAACGCGTCTATGTGTCCGGCACTATCCAGCATCACTCAACTCGTGAGGTTTCAGTATGTAGCTATCCCCACTCAGCGCGTCTATGTGTCTGGCAAACTCAAAAACCAATGCATCTGTGAGCTTTCAGTATGCAGCTATCCCCACTCAACACGTCTATGTGTCCGGCACTATCCAGCATCACTCAACTCGTGAGGTTTCAGTATGTAGCTATCCCCACTCAGCGCGTCTATGTGTCTGGCAAACTCAAAAACCAATGCATCTGTGAGCTTTCAGTATGCAGCTATCCTCACTCAACGTCTATGTGTCCGACAATCTCCATCACAAATCACCTGTGGGGTTCAGTATTTGTCTATCCTCCCTCAACGCGTCTATGTGTCTGGCAACCTCAAAAACCAATCCGTCTGTGAGGTTTCAGTATGCAGCTATCCTCACTCAACACGTTTATGTGTCCGGCAATCTCCATCACAAATCACCTGTGAGCTTCTTCAGTATGTGTCTATCCTCACTCAACGCGTCTTCGTGTCCGGCACTCCAACACCACTCAACCCGTGGGGTTTCAGTGTGTGGCTATCCCCACTCAACCCGTCCATGTGTCTGGCAATCTCAAACCTCACTCAACCCTTGGGTTTTCAGTATACAGCTATAATCACTCAACACGTTTATGTGTCCGGCAATCTCCTACATCACTCAACCTGTGAGGTTGCCGTAAACAGCTATCCTCACTCCACTCGCCCATGCGTCACGCGTCTTTGGTAGCGCATACCATGGGGGCTATGTTTGGGGTGGCATGTTTTACAGCGCTTTGCCAACAGCGCCACCCCACTCAAGTCTAGATGAGGGGGTGTGATAAATAGGTGTTGTGTTGGGCACGACCAAAAGAGAATTACGGAGATGTGTATGTGAGATACTCACATGCCCACGCGGCAGATGTTGTATCCCCCCGTTGATAGACGGAGGAGCTTGCGGCGTAACCTCAAGGGTGTGTTATCTTCTGTAGCCCCGGTGATAAATCGATGGTTTGTCAGAAAAGCCGAAAATTATCACCGGGGTGTCGTATTCTGCGGGGGGGTGGTTTCTTATGTGGGTGTGTTATCTTGTGTCGTCTCCGGTAGTCACCGAAGACTAATGGTTTGATTTCGGCTTCTGCAGGATTCACTTGGGTGACCGAGCTCACGTATCGAGTTGCATGCCGTAACTTGTACCACTCTGGAATACGAATGGGATACCACAGAGAGACTAGCCGTTCGAGGTACTGTCCTGCCTGTGACACCACAGCAGTAGACAAAGGGAACATTTTCAGGTCTTTGCAGTGAGTGGGCAAAAACCCGGCTGGGTAATGGGCTTCGTTAACCCTGAATAACTTGTTTGTTCTTTGGAAGAGTTATGTAGTGTTGCTCGGTACAATAGCGAGCGCGCTCGAGAGCGTGCGCTCGAGGAAAGAAAAGCCCCCTTCGGGTTTGGGTCAGGAAGCGAAGACGGAGCCAAGCCAATCAAGTTCGGAACGGCTCTCCTGCTTGACCCCGCGATCGGAGCGCTTCAGCTATACACTGTAGAGAGGCACACACCGCGCGGGAACCAAAAGACGAAAGGAACGAGTGATGCGGCTTTCAACACTGAACGTCTTTTATTCTGCTGCGCGTGTTTGTTTTTTTCTGTGGGTGATTCGTCTTGTCTTCGACCTAAAAAATTTCGTCTTTTGAAAGCACACTTCCGTCTCCAGAGGAAAAGTCCTTTTTTTTTTTTTGTGTTGATCGTCGTTTTCACGCATGCACACGCCACGCACCGTGTCCTTCCGCCCTCGAACGCAAAAACCGCCGTTTGGACAGCGTCAACGTGCGAATTTGTGGAGGTGACCGGAGGAGCGTCTCCGGGCTCTTACGCGCTGCAGTCGGACGGGGAGGGCGACGTGTACACGAACGGCGAAACCGGTGCTGTGCTCCTGTACACGACGAGTAGCATCCGGCGCGGCAGGCAGCGGCGGCGCCTAGAGGAAGGGGGTGAGAAGGAAGGAGGGAGAGAGAGAGAGGGAGAGAAACAGACACATAGATAGACACACAGAGAGAGAGAGAAAGCGAGAGCGAGAGAGGTTGTAGACAGAGACAGACACAAGAACAGAGAGACAGATTAAGAATGGTACGACACAGGCAGAGAATCGTGAGAGACAGAGACAGAGACAGAGAGAGAGAGAGAGAGAGAGAGAGAGAGAGAGACAGAGAGAGAGAGAGAGAGTCCGGAGACAAACAGACAAACAGAAAGACAGACAGACAGGCAATCAGACGGAGAGGCAGAGAAGAATATGAGACAGTCGGAGAGTCGAGCGACCGACATATCGACAGCAGGGAATAGGGAGTCAGAGAGGAGGAAAGACCAGGCGGTCGACATGAGTAAACTTGCACATTCGGGTTCGACAGTGTAGTGCATGCAGGTAGGCGTTGCTCCTTATTTTGTCGCCGAGATACATACGTGTTGTTGGCGATTTACTTTTACCCATCACGCAGATCCGACGCGTAGGCTAGCCTTTGTACCCGTTCATTGCCGTCGCCACCGCTGCAGCTTGCGCGAGACGGAAGAACGCTTACTGAAAGGACTTGAGCTACATCGCGGATTCCTGATACGAAGGACCAGCGCCGGACACCGCGAAGAGTAAAACGGTGCTGTGAATCAGAAAGAAAATACTTGTACTATACTCGGGCGACGGGGATAACCGACAAAACACCGCTCGCAGACGTTGTCAGCCAGCAAGGAAATACAGTGGAGAAATGAAACAAACCTAGTGGGTGGCGTCACTTTTCTTTCAAAAAACTACCCGCGCATGCGGTGCCATACGGGTCATGTTCCCCAACATGAACCGGCATCTCGGGGTCCTGAATGACCCCACGTTCGATAAGCAACGAGTAACCCCCCCCCGCCTTCCTGCACGCGCACCTCGTCTGGAAACCTCTTATAGGGTGGTTACCTCCTGCTGACAACACCGCTGCCAATGGTAACCAGCACTCGCTGTCTGGCGTCGAAGGGCTTGTCGAGGAGACGATGGGCTGGCGGCGACGGCAACAAGGGCAGGGGGGGGGGGCTGAGCGACGGCGCCGATCACTTTCCGAGTGTGCGGCTGGGTTCTGGATAAATCTGTCCGGGGTGGACAGCAGCGGGACGTCTTCTTCCGCTGGAGCTGACTCGCCTTCCTTGGACGGCGTTGCCTACCCTATATACGTGGNGGGGGGGGGGGGGGGGCTGAGCGACGGCGCCGATCACTTTCCGAGTGTGCGGCTGGGTTCTGGATAAATCTGTCCGGGGTGGACAGCAGCGGGACGTCTTCTTCCGCTGGAGCTGACTCGCCTTCCTTGGACGGCGTTGCCTACCCTATATACGTGGTGAGGGGTCTCGACGCGTGGTTGAAGCGATGAGCGGCATTGATATCCCCTGTTGTAGGGAGGAGAGTTTGCATGGGTCAAACGGCTGGCTCAGGCGTCAAGCACGCTTGGAAGCGGACAGCTCTCTGACAACATGCCGTCCGCCCGACACGGAGACGAAGTGAGCACCCGTTCTGACCCCCCCTTCCCCCCCCCACCCCCCACGGTGCCCCCTTTCTGGTGTGTGACCTGCTGTGTTCAGGCGCCCGATTGTGCCGATCACCCGGTGAACGTCACCGCGGAGTGGTTTTCGATCGGATGCACCACTTGCGAGCTTGAGCCAGCGTCCCAGACACTGTCCATCGAGTGCGACGAGGACTACGACAACGGAGGTGGGTACTATAACCGGCGGGCAAGCAAGCAGGTAGCGATGGTGGCTATTTCCCCGCGCGTTTTGTAGTTCGGTTAGCGAGGAGAGGCGGTTGGTGGTTGGTACGCTGCGACGACGATGATGATCATCGACGACGACGACGACTCCCCTTTCAATCCATGCCCGCTTGTCGGCCCTCTCGTTTTGGTGTTCATTGCCGATCGAGGACGCTTTCACAGAAAGGCTACTCCACTCGTTCGAGATAGTGCCCCTGTAGAAGAAGGAATGTGTTGAAGCGCTTGGCGTGTTGTGGCAGTGGGGAAAAAACGATTCAGAAAGGCAACGGTAACTGCTGCAAGAAGGCTGCAGTCACAGTAGCATGGTTGGGTTCTTCTATTGTGTTGAAGAAATGCTCAGCACGACCTTGATTTGACAGTAATATCATGAGACCGAGATCCCCCGCCTCCTCTTTCCCCCTCTTCTCCACTACCCGTCTGCTGCTCCCCTGCCCCAGGCATGGCTACCCCCGCCCCTACCCGCATCCTCACCCCCGACGGAACCCCCGCCCCAAGCGCGGACAGCCTGCCAGTGCAAGTCGAAACCCTTCCACCAACGCCAGCTCCGACGACGCCTGCCCCGGAACGATTGGCAACCCCGGCCCCAGGCACGGAAAGCCTGCCAGTGCAAGTCGAAACCATCAGACCAACAGGCGTTTCGACGACGACGCCTGCTCCGGAAAGATTGGCAACCCCGGCCCCAAGCACGGAAAGCCTTCCTGAGCAAGTCGAAACCGTCAGACCAACAGGCGTTCCGACGACGACACCTGCCCCGGAACGATTGGAAACCCCCGCCCCAAGTGCTGAAGGCGGCGGTTTTTCGACCGTGCCTGCGGGAGGCAGCGGTGTTACTCCGTCTCCCGCGAGCAGTAGCACTGTTGTCGATGGCGATGGCGAGGGTTCGGCTGCCACCTCCGGGACTGGGAGGGTCGGGAGCGGGGCCCTGGGCTGGCTTGTTGCCGCGGGTGCTTCTGCTGCTCTTCTTCCGTCATTGTTTTCGTCTTCTTGATGGGCGGAAGCTAATTACTTTCGAGTTGGTCTTGGAGGGTGCTGTGTTTTTTGCTGGCTCTCGGCAGCTGACGGGGTCGACGGCGGTTTGATCGATCGATCGGTTTGGCGATTGTGGTGGCAACGTGGTCCGCGAAGTTAGTTGTACGAGGGAGGTGTATCGCCGACAATAGGTGCCCGCAGTTTTCTGATTGTTCCATTTTTTTGAAAGGAGAATTTACCTACCAAACGACGTCTTTTTCTAGGACAAAAAGTGTTGTAGGAAGTGGCGATCATGCACGCGAATATCCCCATAACCAATGCCGCGTCCTTTCTTTTGTAAGCTTTTTTCGAGGGAATGCGTGTTTTGGTACCACATGAGGACATTTTTTCTTTTGGAAGCTTTGCGACGGAATGCGTGTTTTGTTCCACAAGAGGACAAATTTGACACCTACATTTTTCGTTGTTTGTTATTGTCCTTGTTGCCCTTTTCGCCCTTTGAGCGTTGGGCGCGATGTCGACCTACCTATATATGTGTACAATTGTTTTTTGTTGTTTTTTATTGTTTGTTTCCCTCTTGCGTTCTGCTCTTGGGAGCGTTTTTTTGTGTCATATGTAACGGTCATCACCAGAGGTACGCACTCGGGCCGTGGGATCCGAGCGATTGGCCGCCAGTCGTTCCTCGTGTGCTGACGGGATGAGCGTGCGATGTTTTCGCTGTGCCACCCCCGTACGAGAGGGTGGGTGTAGGCGTGTGTTGATGGGTGTACTTCTTTATCGTGTAAAGGGTTAATTAGTGTTTCGTTGGTCTATTTCGTACACGGTGTGATGGTCGCGGACGTGAACGTTGGGTAGTGCACAGAATATCGTATACCTGCGAGACGATGAACACGGACCGTAGCCATGGAGCTAGTCCGGCAGCCGATTCGGTGTTTTTGCGTGCCTAGAATGCTGTCTACGTGGGCCTTATGGTGAGGGATGAAGTGAATGATGTCCTTTTTTTGTTCATAACGCCGGACGAAATGAGTCGGCCATTCCCGACAATTCCGATTCCAAGAGACAAGATTATTAGATTTTTTTGTCTTGGTTTAGATTGTCTTTACACTAAATGGGACGTGCCAGGAACGTATGAAATGAGAGAGCCCGCGGGAGTTGGGGGTGTCGCTTCAAGGAATATAGAAGCTGATGGTGCTCTAGGTATTGATGCGCACGCGGTCGATGGCCGAGAAAGAGTGCAGTGCGAGCGACGAGTTAGTACTATAGTCGGCCGGTGGGGGTAAGGGTCTGTAGCAAGTTTGTTCGCTCTAGTCTATGGGCGTCGGGAGTGATTTTTCATCACCAAATAGACCCGGCCCCTCGTCGCGTGTGTATCATAGTTTTTTCTTTCTTTTGTGTTGACCAATCAAGGAAGTAATGTATGCATACACAGGAGGTTTGTTTGCAACCTTGACACATTCGGGAGCGAAAGCAGCAGGAGCATCCACTATTTTCCCTCTGGCCTTGTCGGGGGTAACTTTCCCCAGCTCCCTTAGAGATGACGCGGAGGAAAAGCAGAAGTAGGCTCTGGCGCGTCGCCTTTTCGTGGATTTTTTTGCGAGAAGGCACGGCCAGCCTGACGGCAACGCCCTGTGAGTCCTCGCTGGAGATCGTTGGGCACGCCGTCGTCGAACCGGCGGAGCAACAATGTAGCTACCCCGTGATTCCAACCTGGCCATTCGGGCAACTTCCCGGTGATGATCGGACCCACCAAGATACGCTTTCGAGGCTTATCTCTCTCCGTCCCCCGCTCCGCCCCTCCCTTCCTCTCGCCGTCGAGATTGGGATGGAGGCTAAGATTTTGAGAGCGCGCTCCAAACTATCCTCGTGGGGAGCACATCGTTTCCCCCTCGGACCTCTGTTGACCAACTCCAACGGCTGTAAAAAAGTGTGGGTGGTGACATTCGCCCAAGCCGCTTCTCGAAACCGCCATCTACTGTTGTATCGGGGGTCTCTCCAAGCGTTTGTTTTTTCTTCGCCCTGCTCTCGACAATGACCAGCACAGCTACGACAAATATTGTACGCAACACGCGAAACGGCAACAAATGCCGGTCAAGCAAACGAGGGCACTTTAAACCAGGCTCCGCAGCTCCCTCTCTCTCTCCCTCCCTACTCGAGGCATTCCCTGTCTCTTCAATAGTTTGACTTGTAGGGGAGCCACCACCGTCTCTCGGTACGGTGGGGGGCCCTGTTAAGTGCCGGTACGTACCCAGACACTGACAGGCACTATACCGGGTACGAGCACTATATCGGGCACCGGCACTAAACACGCCCCCCGCTGTACCACTACATAGCTTGCAGGAGTAGGAGCGCGCTCTCACGTCGCTACTGCGCCCGTGTCCTTCAGCAGGCTGGCCACCCCCGCCCTCAGCCCCGCGTCGCCCCCGCTCCCCTGCTCCTCCCCCAGCAACACCCGGAGCATCTCGTGGGGATCCTTGGCGCCCCCGTGGATGAGCAACTCTTTCCAGAGCAGCTCCCCGGCGTCGCTGTTGAGAGGGTCCCTTGCGAAGTGTCTGGTTGTCGTTGTTGTCGTCGTCGTTGTTGTTGTTGTTGTTGTTGTTGTTGTTGTTGTTGTTGGTGGCGGGAATGTTGGTGTTGCCATTGTTGCCATTGTTGTTGGACGAAAAATCAGCAACATAGATGGGGGGAGGGTGGTTGTGTGAAAATCGTCAGAAGACCATCGGTCTGCAGAACACACGCATGTTGTTGCAGGAAAAAATCCGACTTCGACGCCGCCACTGGTCTTGTTTAGAAGCCGCCTGCACGAATCGAATGAGCTAAAACCCCAAAACATGAGGCCGTACCTCGAGGTCTCAGAGGGGGTCTGCCCTACCTGCAGTGCGGTTATAGGAGCAACACACCTTGTTGGTGTTTAAGGATGTTGCCACACGGAGACGGACGCTAGCGTTTTCGTCGGCATTGCAGCCATGCCTACGTCACACCATTGTTGTATGGTAACTCTGTGGGCAACACGGCCAACGTAATGCGACAAGCGACAAGGATGGCCTGCTCCAAAGAGGAAGAGCAGTGTTCTTGACACAGGCGAAATGTCATGCCATGCCACAACAAGGAAACAAAGCACTCTAGTTGTGCCAAGTCACCCTATGAAAGGGTACAACTGCTGCTGTGACCTCACGGTGATGGCACATTGTGTCAAAAACGGCCCGAGGATAACGACACAATAGCTTGTGCATCGCGTATCAAAACAGGGCGAGAATGCTACACGCCCAACGGCAGTAACGCTAAACATTTCCCCATACAAAAAGGACGTGCCACGTTGTCACACAACATGGCGCTTGATCGAAATCTCACCGTTCCCAGATGGCGCTGGTGAACATCTTGGCGTACAGGTAGGCGTAGTAGCTTGCCCCGTACCCGGTGAAGTGTCCAAACCTGTCAAAAGTGTTCAAACCTGTCAAAATTGTCCAAACCTGCCAAATGTGTCCAAACCTGTCAAATGTGTCCAAACCTGTCAAGTCCAGTCAAACAATCAAACCCGCATCAAATCACTCGTGGCCCTTTGCAGCCAGGACATGTCCAAACGCGTCCAATCAAATCCACCAAAAACAGCATCTAATCACCGTCACACATGAACAGCCACGAAAACACCGAGTAACGGCTAGACCGGATGGATTCAAAATTTGGAACAAATCATGGAACCACGGATCTCATCGGATGTCTTGGTTTTTCTAAGCGCAAAGAGACACTTTGTTCTTCGCTCCGAAAACGAGTGAACAGCATTGATCACGAAATTCTTGAGGCCATCCCATCCCATCCACCCGGCGGGAGGTTGGTACAAAACCTACATCACATATTGGTACGAATTCCGCGCTGGGGCACACCAGGTGTTTTGGCATACCAGGGGAGGACTCCTGCCGGCGCAGGAGGCCTCATCCAAACCAATACAAGCACTACATTAAATGATCCTCGGTATGGAGACAGAATACAACAGTAGAGTCAAAGGGGCGCATCATGTACATGGTGTCACCACTACCAACAACATCAGCAGCACCAGCACCAGCAACCGACCCCCTTACCTGGAATGCCAGAACGCCCCCTCGCACCGCGGCAACCCAGCGATTCTCTCTTGCAACGCATCAGCCACGGACGCCGATGACCAAACACCCCCCTCCGGCTGCGAAAAGCCAGCCCCAAGATCGATGTGGAAAATAAGCAACATGTAGCCAGACGAGGGGGGGGGGGTGAGGGCGTATCGCTTTTGGCGTGTCCGTCGACTTGTTGTTGTCCGCAACAGACAAGTGGTCCACACGTGCACACTTGACCCGGTGGAGGGCAACCGCTGTGTGGGCGTTATCGGCGAAAAGCTAATCCGAAAGATCAACTCGGCACGGAGGCTCGAGACATGTTACGTGTGTAACAACACCAACACCAAACGTAGGTGTATCGTCCGTCGAAACATTAGAATGCGCTCAAACAATCGGTTCCAGCCAGCCGTAAAAACTCCCAAGCAGTGGTTGTCTCTCAAGGGGTTTCTCAAACGGTCCGCATACCCTGCGCACATGCGACCAAAGTCATGTATGCAAACGTCATGCACCTGGAGTGATAGAGCGGCAGCAACAAAAACACCGAGGCAGACGGAAAGCATCCACGCACCTGGGGGCCAAACAGCTGCTGATCGAGGGTAGCGTAGAGCAGCTGCGTCTGGATGCCCAGCCCGGCGAAGAGGGTTTTCGATCTGTGGAGGCCGTCTAACAGGGCAGCGGGGGGGGCTTCGCCCGTGCGGTAGTGCCTGTTGGGAGGACGAAAGGGGCCGGTAGGGGCACAAGAAACGGAAACAAGTGTGTAAATAGTGTTCGATGGGGCGTGGTTTGGCAGCTGCTGATTGTCATGCTGGGGGTAAGGGCCGCCGAGACACGGATGCGGGATAGAGAGAGATAGAGAGGGGGGGAGGGAGAGAGGGGCGAGAGGTAAGAGAGAAGACACAGAGAGAGAGAGCGGAAGAAGGAGAGAGAGAGAATCGGTGAGTTGAGCCCACGGTGTTGACCGGTTGCGGTTTAAGTGAAAACCTCCATAATCATCCAAAGTGAATGTTTATCGATGTGCAAAAAGGTCATCGGTACGTACCGGGTGAGCAAGCCCAAATGGCACCGGTCTGCCAGCCGGCACTACTCGACTCTACACCATATCCTTAGAAAGCACACGCGAAAGACAAGCGTACACGTTGTTTATCGCCTATCTTGGTATGTCTGCGCGTGTACGTGTTTTCGTCCCATCTATTCTGAGCGCTAGGCCACACCTCCAAGTAACTATCGATGCACCGCCCGGAGAACGTCAAAAAAAAAAAAACTGCTCTATTCTTCTCCGCCTGTCTCCCTGCGGCGCCTGCCTTAAACGTTTTCTCCGCCGTTCCTCCTGCTGCACTCGCCTCCAAGCCCTCTTCAACGGGCGTACTTCAAAACAAAAAACGAAGTCCGGCGGCCCGGCGTACCTAGCAAACTTTGTGAGCATGGTCCTGTCCCAGACGAAGTGCTCCATGAGATGGGACGGGATCTCGCAGAAGTCGACGGGTACGCGGGTGCCTGAGAGAAGCCAAGAAAACTGCGACAGATCAGATCAACCTAACGAAAGACCGCGGCAAGAGGAGAGCGGACGGCCCGGCTCGAAAGAGACCACGCGACATGTGCACGGTAGGTGGGGGGGGGGGGCGTGAACTACCGTACACGACACAAGATAACACACCCCCTTGACCGATTTTCGAAGCTCGATTTCTCAACTAGAGGAACAGTCACAGCGCCGAAAACGGCGGCGTTGAAATCGTCTTGTTCATAGCTTTTCGAAAATGTATCATTTCGTTTATGCATCCTCTTCGTCGTGGAGTAATCGAGCTTTGAAAATGCGTCCAGCGGGTGTATTATCTTTACGTGCCGTAGGCTTTAGATCATTGACCTTGCATACCCGCAATGCCGGAAAGGAGCGACAAGCCGGGAGGGGGGTATACGAACAAGCGCGCGTGGCAGAAGCCTTCCTCGTCATGTTCGAGACTAGCCAAATCATCAACGCCAGCAGGTAACCCACGTCACCGCCACAAAGGGTTCGGATACCACCATCAGCATTGCAACAAGGCGAACGGGATTCGGCAATCACGCAAACCGTTCAGCAACCACAAATCTCACTCACTCTTGTCGGGGCCATGGTCACGTCAACGCAGCTCGTGAGCTCGCGACGGCATCGCCAACAGCAACGGCAACAAGCAGCGACGACGGTGACCGACAGAAACAGCTACAGCGGCGACGATGACGGCAACAATTCCGATACCAGCACCAACAACAGCGACAACAAACAACAACAACAACAACAACAACAACAACAACAACAACAACAACAACAACAACAACAACAACAACAACAACAACAACAACAACAACAAATACCGCCCCAGTGCAAAGAAACCCACCCGAGACGTGCTGCAGCTCCGTGCGAGAGAGAAGCGAGTGCAGGGCGTGCCCGAACTCGTGAAACAGGGTCTCCACCTCCGAGTGGGACATGAGCCTTCCACCATCCTGCTCACCACCGCAAAGACAAAACACAACAAGCAACAGTCAGGCCCCAAACGCAGAGAGAGGGTAGCAAACAAACGACACGCAACACCAACAGAATCGGGCATGACCTTGTCAGTTTTGGAAACTTTCGCTCGCCATCGGGAAAGGAAGCAAATCCTACCGCGTGCACGGGTTGAACACGCTAAGGCTAAGGAATGGTTCGCGGTCGTTTAGCCTCAAGCGCTGGCGGACATTTCTTCCTTAGCCCTTCGCCTTGGATGGCGGTCGTACACATACCCCGACGGATGGATGGATGGATGGCCATCGTTTCGCACCAGCAACGTGAAGCACGGAACAGCGGGCCAAGTATGAGGGGCGCTCGAAACACTACGCCGGAGAACACGATCACACCGGCAGCAGCAGCAACGACACAGCGGCAGCAGCAGCAACAACAACAAAAAAACGACAACAACATCACCTCGGGCACTGCTGCCCGCTGCCGCCGGTAACCGCCTCCACCTCTCTCACCTTTCCGAATCGTTCCATGGACTGTTCCGCGCTTCCACCGTCCGGCGGCGGCTGCGGCAGGCCAAAGTTGCACACCAACACCACCGTAGGGAGTTGATACTGAAGTCAAAGAGACGCGAGGATAGGGGGCGAGGGGGGGGGAATTGCCGCCGGGGGCTCCATGAATCGGGAGCGTTCCTCAAACCGTCCAAGGGGGGGGGGGGTCACCTGGCCTTGGTGACAGCATCGCCTTCGTAAGGACGCGACGAGGAAGAGAGGGTGAAAGAATGAATTTGGAGAATGAGAAAGGGAGCCCTCACAGGATTGAGACGATCTTTTCGTTGCTCGGTGCGAGGCTAGCTGTGCTATGATATCTCACCCCAGACACTCCCAACCCAAATATCGTTTTCCTGATTTGCGTGTGACCTCGACGTTACCATCGCGAAACTGTAGTATCAGGGGCATGTACCCTGGATGAAGGGCAACGCTGCCCGAAAAGCCATTCGATGAAGGCAGGCGGAACACAAGAGATCAGGCAAGAGTCGATAGAGCGCTCTGTGCAAGTAGGGTGTACGGACACAGCAGGTGGACGGGGGGGAAAATTGAGGGCTACGATAATCAACATTTCCTGGCTCTGAATGAACTGGATGTTGGATACGGCAGGTAGACGGAGGGAGCAAGGTATGTATCACACTCGGAATAAGAGAATAGACAATGCGCACATGCACACATGCGCGCATTGCGCGCGGTGGTTCAATGCGCATTCGAGGGGAGTAATTCTTTTCTTTGACTTGTTCAATACAAAGGAATATTAAAAACATCCACAGTCGTTGTCGAGTCGATTGAGTTAAGGGCGGGATCCGATCGAGTTGTGAACCTTCGAGAGGGTTGGCATAAAACGGTTCCCTCAGGCTGAGACAAAAGTACAATTGGTGCCGACATCGCGCTTGAGTAAAGCAAACGTGTTGGGACATGTTCAAACCTTTACCTGGCGTACATGTACATGTGGGCGAAACGAACGAAAGCTGGTGAGCATTATCCATTATCTCAGATCCACCCGTGCACAGAACGCGCCTAGGTAACCAGACCTCCTCTAGCTCGCTGCCCTACCGTTTCTCCCGCCAAAAAATGGCATACATCCTACTCTGCTGATGTAGAGTGATGCAAAAGACACCAATATATACACATCCCCACCCTCTCCCCGAACCCGCGCCTCCCGTACCCCCTCCTTGGACCAACTCGTTCAGCACGCGACCCAACGAGTCATCACCTCTAGCTCCCCGCTCCCCCCCCCTCCTCCTCGTGCGTTGCTTCTGTCGTCCCCCTCCCCAGGGTTGGCGACACACCCACAACGGACCGTGAAGTGGGCCGCGTGCCCAAACTTCCCTTCCCGCCTTCATTACAGCGAAGAACAAGATTGCGCACAGCGGGGGGCGTCGAGGGGTCGGAAATGGGAGGGGGGGGGGCGTCTGCGTCTTACCCAGCATCACTTCCCCCTGAAGAAAAGAAGATAAGGGACATTCGAGAAATTGGGACGAAAACCCGATGGTTTGAAAATTGTTTTCGGTCGCCAAAGAAAATACCGGGTTCGCGTTCGAGGGTCTCGACGCGGACCCTAGATTTCAATAACAGCCACAAATCTCCGTCCCTCTCATCCAGCGCTAGGTGAATGTCCGTTGTTGACCGTCGCCCGTCAGACTCCTTCCGCTTTGCGGGGGGTAAGTGCACGAGTTTCAGAGACAGAAAAAAGTGTAAGTACTCCCTGTCCTACCTGTGTAAGTCCAGGTAGATAGTGCCCAGCACCCCTTCCTGTTCGTGCCGCAAGACAAGCTTCCGTACCCCCCTCCCACTTCTCCCTGCCCAATTCTCCCCCGGCTCAATAGGTACCTGCTTTGCGTTTAAACTCCCATTGCGGGGAGGAGGGTCAGTAGTGATGGGGAGGGGGGGGTGCTTCGCCCCCAATTAGCTCCCCCCTGCTTCCCCCCCTCGGTAGAGTTGTGAATCGGAACGATGTACACGATATATATCGTCCGATATATATCGATATCGGTATCGAAAATTCGTGCCGATGTTCCGACCGATGTTTTCTTAGGGGCTCCGTGAATCAAATTTAGGGTATGCGCAGCAGTACGGAGCCCCTGTACGCCACACACACACAGCACAGCAGCGCAGAAACAGCAGACAACAGCACCATGTCCAGAACCAACCGGGAAGTAGACACAGGGAGAGACCGAAGGAGGGTACTGCTGAGGATACGCGACAATACATCAATCTTAATCTTTTTTTTTTTTTTCTACATTCCGTGCGATGTTTGCAGCTGAAGTCAAGCCCTTTTTGATGCCGCATTTGGGCCCATTTTGACGGGAAATGAAAGGAAAATGCACCAAATTTTCTGCCTCCGGCGGCGCCTCCGGCGAGGCCCCCTCACCAGCCGGGGGGGGCCGATGGGGGGGCTCGCTTCGCTCGCCCCCATCACGGCTCGCTGCGCTC